ATTTATTTCTGTGATCAAAGCTGAATTTTGTCACATGATCTTCAGAAATCAGTATAATATGCTGATTTGTTGCTCAAGAAACATTTCTGATTATTATCAATGTTGAACACAGCGGAGTAGATTTTTTTTTCAGGTTTCTTTGATGCATAGAAAGTTCAGAAGAACAGCATTTATCTGAAAATAGAAATGTTTTGTAACATTATAAATGTCTTGATCAATATTGTTATAAAGTATAATGTTACAAAAGCTTTTTATTTCAGATAAATGCTGATCTTTCTGTTCATCAGAGAATCCTGCAAAAAAAATGTACACAACTGTTTTAAATATTGATAATAATAATAGTGCTGGGCAACGATTAATCGCGATTAATCGCATTCAAAATAAAAGCTTTTGTTTATATAATATGTGTGTGTAATGTGTATTATGTATATAAATACACATGCATGCATGTATATATTTAAGAAAAAATATTTTATGTTTATATATTAAATATATTTATATAAATGATATGAATATAAATATACATGTAAATATTTTCTAAATATATACTGTATGTGTGTCTCTTTATATATACATAATAAATATACACAGTACACACACGCATATATTATATAAACAAAAACTTTTATTTTGGACGCGATTAATCGTTGCCCAGCACTAAAATAATAATAATAAGAATGTTTCTCGAGCAGCAAATCAGTATGATTTGAGACTGATCATGTGACACTGAAGACTGGCGTAATGATGATAAAAATTCAGCTTTGATCACAGAAATAAATTACAGTTTAACGGATATTCACATAGAAAGCGTTTTTTTAAATAGTAAAAATATTTTACTGTTTTTGCTGTACTTTGGATCAAATGAATGCAGGCTTGGTGAGCAGAAGAGACTGTAAAAAGCATTAAAAATCTTACGGTCCAAAAACCATTTCTATCGCTCTAAGTCTGCTCTATTTCTGTTTGTCAGAAAAAGATTGCTCTGAAATCTCACTCCATTCCCATGGACAGCAGGGAGACACCGACAACAATCAGGTCCAGGATGTTGAAGGAATTACGGCAGAAAGAGCCCTTGTGCAAGAAGGCACCATACGTGGTCATCTGCAGCGGACAAAGAAGCACTGAACCATTCACAGAATCAAAACGCAACAAAACCGCTTGTTAGAATGCACACCGAACCCTCATCCCACCTTCAGCACAATCTCTGCGGTAAAAACCGAAGTGAAGACATAATCAGCGTAGGCCAGGACCTGGAGCACAGCAAGAAAGGTAGCTGTTGAAGGCAACTGTAGGAACAAGTAGATATAGGCAAGTCTAGAGATTGTGTACCTGGTTCCTGAAGGACATCGGGTCGATGGGGTCCTCCGCAGCCAATGAGATACTGCTAAGCAGGATGAAGAGGAGGATGATGTTGGTGAAGGTTGTAGCATTGATGATGCGATGGCAGAGTTTGCGGAACCTGAGCAGAAAGATAAAAAAAACCCTAATAAACAGTGGCTATGTTTCCATCACCCTGTTATTATGTGCACTTTGACAAATCACGTGGCCAAATTAAAAAAACAAATCCTTTCATTTTTACGCTCGCTTGAGGTAGTTTTTGATTGGTGCGAAAAACGGTTAATAATCGGAGACGGAAACACATTTTGCGAATAAATTTCTCCATGCGCACCAAAGAAGTCATCAAGTCATCAACCAGTGGACAGATCTCATTGCACAGCATCTGAAATGTTGTTATGGTCATTCTTAAATAAGTCTGTCGTCAAAGTATTCTGTATAACTGCCTCCCAGAACCGTCTTACACGACTGCGTTCCCATCCTCCTGCGAACGCATTTATTGTTTCGTCTGCTCGCTCTGAGGCACAAGTAATTTATTATACATGAAAATGGTTATATTCAGTGGCTTCTCCTACTTTTCTTAGAGATATTTAGTGGCAGTATATCAGGAAGTGATGATTTTGTTCTTTGACTCGTTGGATGGAAATGGTGCTCATTCACAAATGTGTCCCTGCAGCACAGAAGCAGTGTTGAGTCGCTGGGGGATATAGCTTTTTATTTCAGATAAATGCTGATCTTTCTGTTCATCAGAGAATCCTGCAAAAAAAATGTACACAACTGTTTTAAATATTGATAATAATAATAGTGCTGGGCAACGATTAATCGCGATTAATCGCATTCAAAATAAAAGCTTTTGTTTATATAATATGTGTGTGTAATGTGTATTATGTATATAAATACACATGCATGCATGTATATATTTAAGAAAAAATATTTTATGTTTATATATTAAATATATTTATATAAATGATATGAATATAAATATACATGTAAATATTTTCTAAATATATACTGTATGTGTGTCTCTTTATATATACATAATAAATATACACAGTACACACACGCATATATTATATAAACAAAAACTTTTATTTTGGACGCGATTAATCGTTGCCCAGCACTAAAATAATAATAATAAGAATGTTTCTCGAGCAGCAAATCAGTATGATTTGAGACTGATCATGTGACACTGAAGACTGGCGTAATGATGATAAAAATTCAGCTTTGATCACAGAAATAAATTACAGTTTAACGGATATTCACATAGAAAGCGTTTTTTTAAATAGTAAAAATATTTTACTGTTTTTGCTGTACTTTGGATCAAATGAATGCAGGCTTGGTGAGCAGAAGAGACTGTAAAAAGCATTAAAAATCTTACGGTCCAAAAACCATTTCTATCGCTCTAAGTCTGCTCTATTTCTGTTTGTCAGAAAAAGATTGCTCTGAAATCTCACTCCATTCCCATGGACAGCAGGGAGACACCGACAACAATCAGGTCCAGGATGTTGAAGGAATTACGGCAGAAAGAGCCCTTGTGCAAGAAGGCACCATACGTGGTCATCTGCAGCGGACAAAGAAGCACTGAACCATTCACAGAATCAAAACGCAACAAAACCGCTTGTTAGAATGCACACCGAACCCTCATCCCACCTTCAGCACAATCTCTGCGGTAAAAACCGAAGTGAAGACATAATCAGCGTAGGCCAGGACCTGGAGCACAGCAAGAAAGGTAGCTGTTGAAGGCAACTGTAGGAACAAGTAGATATAGGCAAGTCTAGAGATTGTGTACCTGGTTCCTGAAGGACATCGGGTCGATGGGGTCCTCCGCAGCCAATGAGATACTGCTAAGCAGGATGAAGAGGAGGATGATGTTGGTGAAGGTTGTAGCATTGATGATGCGATGGCAGAGTTTGCGGAACCTGAGCAGAAAGATAAAAAAAACCCTAATAAACAGTGGCTATGTTTCCATCACCCTGTTATTATGTGCACTTTGACACATCACGTGGCCAAATTAAAAAAACAAATCCTTTCATTTTTACGCTCGCTTGAGGTAGTTTTTGATTGGTGCGAAAAACGGTTAATAATTGGAGACGGAAACACATTTTGCGAATAAATTTCTCCATGCGCACCAAAAAAGTAATCAAGTCATCAACCAGTGGACAGATCTCATTGCACAGCATCTGAAATGTTGTTATGGTCATTCTTAAATAAGTCTGTCGTCAAAGTATTCTGTATAACTGCCTCCCAGAACCGTCTTACACGACTGCGTTCCCATCCTCCTGCGAACGCATTTATTGTTTCGTCTGCTCGCTCTGAGGCACAAGTAATTTATTATACATGAAAATGGTTATATTCAGTGGCTTCTCCTACTTTTCTTAGAGATATTTAGTGCCAGTATATCAGGAAGTGACGATTTTGTTCTTTGACTCGTTGGATGGAAATGGTGCTCATTCACAAATGCGACCCTGCAGCACAAAAGCAGTGTTGAGTCGCTGGGGGATATTTGTAGCAATAGCCAACAATACATTGTATGGGTCACAATTATACATTTCTCTTATGCCAGAAATCATTAGGATATTAAGTAAAGATCATGTTCCATGAAGATATTTAGTAAATGTCCTACCGTAAATATATCAAAACCTAATGTTTGATTAGTAATATGCATTGCTAAGAACTTCATTTGAACAACTTTAAAGATGATTTTCTCAATATTTTGATTTTGTTGCACCGTCAGATTCCAGATTTTCAAATAGTTGTATCTCAGCCAAATATTGTCCTATCCTAACAAACCATACATCAATGGAAAGCCTATTTATTTATTTATTCCCTTATGACTGGTTTTGTGGTCCACGGTCACAGATGTTTTATGCAATATTCCATTTGGATCTTTGGATGAAACCCGGCTAGTGAAACTCCCAATATGTATGAGGGTGACGAAAATGCAGGTGAGATTTTACTTGTTCTGTGGGCCGAAGATGAAGAAGGAACTGGCCTCTGGCATGGGTACCACTGTCTCCTTCAGCTGCAGGTCTGCCATTGGACGAGGCCGAGGACTGAGGGGGATCTCTGGCTCCTCCTCCTCATCGTCACCTGGCCAACAAATCAATCAAAACGTCAGACTGACCTAACGGTAAACCATAAGACCTAGTAAGCCAAGCTAAATTATCCTTTGCTTTACCTGGAAAATCAGCTGGAGGAAATGGATCTTTAATCTCGTTCACATTTGATTCAAATTCGTCCACTTTGAGCTGCACGTTAACAAAGAAACTCGTGAGTCAGATTAGCCGTTAATTTGGTTTTTGTAGACAGAATTGTCCAAATCTGGCAATAGTGTGATGTCAGTTAACATGTATTGTCTTATTACAAATAAATTCATAATTAAAACTACAAAAGCAGTTCAATCGAGAGCAGCGGGTGATTCCCTCGTTTCTTTTATCGTTTGATTAACAGTAATGAGACAGATGGCCTATATATTAAGACTTACTGTAATGCACGAACACTAGCTTCTCTATACTTTTTGTATTCTATTTATTTTCTTTTAGTTTATTATACAATTAACAAAAAGCAAAAAAGGCCTCTAACACTAGCTTGCTCTATTCTTTTTCTATTGTATCTGTTTTCTTTTTATGTATTATATAATTTTAAAGGGGTCCTTTTATGCTTTTTCACTTTTTCAACTTTAGTTAGTCTGTAAAGTTGCTGTTTGAGCAACTGCTAAATGACTAAATGTAAATACATTTCTAACACCATTTCCTATAATAACGTCATTCTGTCAGTTACAGGTGGTTTTGACCTTGGCTGTGGTGGGAATTCCATCAATCTTGGCTCTCTGCTCGGCTAGTTTCTTTGCCAGCATGGCCTTTTCTTCCTCTGCCTTATCAGGTAGGTTTTCTCTACACCAAGAACAAACTAAGCATCAGAAATGTCTGTAAAAAGTCACTTTTCCCTGCTATTTGACCTTCGGCACTCACCTAAGAAGTCTCTTCCGCTTCTTCTCCTCTGCCTTCTCTTTCTGGGCAGAGGTCAGACTCTCTGCCTCGGCCAAATTATCCACCGCAATTGCCAGGAAGACGTTCAAGAGGATATCTGCAGGTAACCGCTCAGGAAAATCATGTTCTTTATCCATATCACAGGCCATTTCTACAACTCACACATCTGCGTTGCATGAAGGATACAGTTTCCACAGATGAACAGGATAATGAAGTAGATGCTGACCAGGATTCCAGGCATGGCAGGACCTCCGTGAGCCAAGATGCCATCATACATGACGTAGTTCCAGCCTTCACCTGTGAGGATCTAAAACAGAGACACTGGAGAGGCACTGTGAATCGAAATATCTCGCCATCATATCACATCAGCAAACATACACTCGTTCACATCGTTCTCTTCACTCTCTGAGGCAGAAGTCTCCAAACTCATCCTTTCTAATCATCCTACTACTTGTCCGCTTGATCCTATTCCATCTAATCTCCTTCAAGCCATTTCTCCTGCCTTTGTACCTGCACTCACTCACATCGTTAACACATCCCTTCACACTGGTGTTTTTCCCTCAGCATTTAGACAGGCTCGTATAACCCCACTTCTTAAGAAACCCACCCTTAACCCAACTCTTTTAGAGAACTACAGACCGGTTTCCCTTCTTCCTTTCATTGCAAAAACACTTGAACGAGTTGTGTTCAACCAAGTCTCAGCCTTTCTCACACAGAACAACCTCCTGGACAGCAACTAGTCTGGCTTCAGAAGTGGACATTCAACCGAGACTGCATTGCTCTCACTTGTTGAAGCCCTAAAACTGGCAAGAGTAGATTCCAAATCTTCAATACTTATCTTGCTGGATCTGTCTGCAGCTTTTGACACGGTTAACCACCAGATCCTCCTGTCAACCCTATTGGCAAAGGGCATCTCAGGAACCGCACGCCAGTGGTTTGAGTCTTACCTCTCAGATAGGTCCTTCAAGGTATCTTGGAGAGGTGAGGTGTCTAAGTCACAACATCTAGCTACTGGGGTTCCTCAGGGCTCAGTTCTTGGACCACTTCTCTTCTCTGTCTACATGGCATCACTAGGTTCTGTCATTCAGAAACATGGCTTTTCATATCACTGCTGATGACACTCAACTCTACCTCTCATTCCATCCTGATGATCCGACGATAGCTGCACGCATCTCAGCTTGTCTAACAGACATTTCCTGCTGGATGAAGAACCATCACCTTCAACTCAACCTTGCCAAGATCGAACTGCTTTGTAGTTCCAGCAAACCCATCATTTCATCACAATTTCACCATCCAGTTAGGCACATTAATAATAATTCCTTCAAAAACAGCTAGAAACCTTGGAGTTGTGATTGATGATCAGCTGACTTTCTCAGACTACATTGCTAAAACTGCCCAGTCCTGCAGATTTGCTTTATACAACATTAGGAAGATCAGGCCCTTTCTTTCGGAACATGCCTCACAACTCCTTGTTCAAGCTCTTGTTCTGTCCAGGCTAGACTATTGCAATGCTCTCTTGGCAGGTCTTCCACCCAGTTCTATCAAACCTTTACAATTAATCCAGAACGCGGCAGCAAGATAAATTTTTAATGAGCCAAAAAGAATGCACGTCACACCTCTGTTCATCAATTTGCACTGGCTACCAATAGCTGCTCGCATAAAATTCAAGGCATTAATGTTTGCCTACAAAACTACCACTGGCTCTGCACCCATTTACCTAAATTCATTACTTCAGACTTATGTGCCTCTAGAAGCTTGCGTTCTGCAAGTATATATGTCGCTTTATTGTGCATCCCAAAGAAGCACAAAATCACTTTCACGGACTTTTACATTAACTGTTCCCTCGTGGTGGAATGAGCTGCCCAACTCAATCCGAGCAGCTGAGTCCTTAGCCATCTTCAAGAATCGGCTAAAAACACATCTCTTCCATCTTTACTTGACCCTCTAACTCTAGCACTCTCTATTCTAATTCTATTCTTTATAAAAAAAACTTGTCCCTTTTAGACTTGCACTCTATTCATTTACTGCTTTTTTTCTTTAAAAAAACAACAACAACTAACACTAGCTTTTCTAATCTTTTTGTATTCTATCTATTTGTTTTCTTTTTATTTATTATATAATAAAAGAAAAACTTGCTACGTGTACTGCGTTAAGCTAACTGAGACTTGTTATAGCACTTGCATATCATTGCTCTTTTGTTGATTTTGATTGCTTCCATTGTCCTCATTTGTAAGTCGCTTTGGATAAAAGCCTCTGCTAAATGACTAAATGTAATATGAATGAAAACTCACCTGGAAAACGGTGATCAGAGCCTGAGGAAAATTGTCAAAGTTGCTCCGTCTCACATGCTCATCTGGAAAATTAAACTTCCCTCCGAAAACCTGCATACCAAGCAGGGCGAAGATAACGATGAAGAGGAAGAGGAGCAGCAGGAGCGAGGCGATGGATCGCACAGAGTTCAAGAGCGACGCCACAAGATTGTTCAGTGATGTCCAGTACCTGAAAATCATGCACAATTCCAGTCAATTCTGATGCAGACGTGCATGCTTAGTTCTTCACGGTGGTGACAAGAACAGTGTTGGGGGCAACACATTACAAGTAACGCAAGTTACATAATCAGATTACTTTTTCAAGTAACTAGTAAAGTAACACATTACTTTTTAATTTAGAAGGAAATATATGAGACGTGAATTTACATTTCCTTCAGCCTGAGGTGTATTCATTTCACTTTTGTTGTGAGAGGGCTTTTACATTTGTAAAAGAAGAACTTTTTTATATTAAAAACAAACAAGCAAGCCCTGCCCAGATTTAAAAAGTAACTCAAAAGTAGCGTAACGCATTCCTTTCCATAAAAAAAACTAACGTAATTAGTTACTTTTTAGGGAGTAATGCAACATTCTAATGCATTACTTTTAAAAGTAACTTTCTCCAACACTGGTCAAGAATCACGTACCGGGTTACTTTGAAGAGGCGCAGCAGGCGAATGCAACGCAGTATGGAGATCCCCATGACGGACATAATATCCATACGTACGAGAATGATCTCAAGGATTCCCACAGACACCACAAAGCAGTCAAAACGGTTAAAGAGGGACATGAAGTACGACGGCAGGCCCATCGCGTACATCTTCATAAACATCTCCACCGCAAACAGAGACAACAGCACCTTATTGGTATTGTCTGCAAATAAGGTAAAAACAATATAAGTAACTAGCTAAAATCAACTTTCGGATAGTTTCTAGCTGGTCGTTTGTTGTTACATTGGTAGTTTATTGTCAATTGGCAGAATGTTAGACTTTTTTTATTCATTGAATAGAAATTGTGAATATAACAATGTTTATTCTTTGTATTCCACAGAAGAGCAGAAGTCGTACAGGTTTGAAACAACTTGAGGATGGGTAAATGATGAAAGAAGTTGCGTTTCTGACTGAATTATTAGATAAAAGTAACGCAGAAAGTACACTGCAGTAGTTTGCAAATATTAAAATGTAGTCTTGTTTTGGGATATAAATGAGGAATGATGTTAGTGGGCGCAGAACTGAACCTTGGAAGTTGGTGAGAGACTCGGGCTGACCGTGGTGCTCGGTTGCAATTGCCAGAGTGTTGAAGAACACCAGCAGAATCACCAGCCAATGGAACAACCTGGACTTAACCCATGCACGACATTTCCTCCTAAAAAAACGGTTCCAGCGACGAGCATGTCGACTGTAAAATGCACACACAGAGAAATTTAAAATCATTTCGGATATGAAGTCAATCATTCCTAGCAACTGATCGCTCAACTTACACATAATACATGAGTTTGTTGAGTGCTTCCAGCTCATAGAGGGTTTCTGTGTCGGCTCCATCCTGTAGTGGAAGCAGACCTGTGGAGACCAATCCCAGACATGATTGTACCACATATAACCAGACTTTATTTACAATGGCTGTTGCCTGTTAAAGTGTGTTTGAGCACCTTGCCCCTCCTGGTCATTGTCCATGACCTCTGCCTGTGTGATCCACTCCATGTATCCCTTCAGATCCTCGTCAAACTGCTGACGCTCCCTCAGTTTCTGATACTCTCCGCTTCGAGAACTCTTCTCTCTCTCCTTAGTGAACTCGCTGACAACATAACAATATTGACAGTTAAATTGCTCAGTAAATAGTGATAGTTCACCAAAAAATTAAAATTCTGTCATTAATTACTCAAACGTCATGTCGTTCCAAACCCTTAAGGCCTTCATCTTCGGAAGACAAATTAAGATATTTTTGATGAAATCCGAAAGCTTTCTGAAGAGCAACACAACTGACACATTCAAGGACCAGAAAGGTAGTAAGGACATTGTTAAAATAGTCCATGTGACATCAGTGGTTCACGACGACTGATACCGAAGAAAAGAAATTGTTAAATAAGGTCGTTATTTTTGTTTTCTTTGCGCACAAGAAGTATTCTCGTAGCTTCATAAAATTACGGTTGAACCACTGATGTCACATGGACTATTTTAATGATGTCCTTACTACCCTTCCGTGCCTTGAACGTGCCAATTGCATCGCTGTCAGAAAGCTCTCAGATTTCATAAAAATATCTTCATTTTTGTTCTGAAGATGAACAAAGGTCTTACGGGTTTGGAATGACACGAGGGTGAGTAATTCATGACAGAATTTTCATTTTTGGGTGAACCATCCCTTTAAAGAAGGTTACTGAAATTAATCTTAATAATCTACCAGTCAAAAGTTGGGACACACCTACTCATTTTTCTAAAATGTGGGCAATATCAGTAGAACGATACTGATTTGAAGACCACAAATGTTTGGACTTACCCGCACAGAACCCCCAGAACCAGATTCAAGATGAAGAACGAGCCCAAGAGAATCAGAGTCACAAAATACAGCCAGGGCCACTCCATTCCAATCGCGTCATTTACCTATAATAGGTCAAGAGTTAGCCTTTGCATCCCTATCATAGTCCTCTATCTCGGTGGTTCCCAACATATTTGATGTCTCCTTTATCTGACACCAATTTCAAGTCTTGGAGTCTCTACTGACAAGCTGATAAGTTGAATAAAGTGTGTTCGGTTGGGGAGAAATGTAAAATGTCCAGAGTTGGGGGAACTGCAGGGTTGGGAACCACTGGCTCTTTGTGTAACCGTTAAGGTATGTGTCACTGACCCAGTACAGAACATCCGTCCAGCCCTGAGTGGTGATGCACTGGTATACCGTGATCATGGAAAATCCCAGATTGTCAAAGTGGGTAATGCCGTTATTCGGCCCAGGCCAACCACCGCTGCACTCGGTTCCATTTAGAGTGCAGCGCCTTCCGTTACCGGCCTGAGCGCACGGAGCCGCCTGCGCATCATCCCCCGTGGCGATGATATCTGTGACATGACAGAGCATAGATCATGAACCTACATTTTCATTTACTGAAGATGGCAAAATATCAACGTCAGTTGACGTCAAATTTGGACATCAAATTAACGTTGACTTTAGGGGTCAGATTTAATAAACAGGGCAAATTAGCGCGAGAACGCAATTCCAAAACATGGAAATTTCGTGGAAATTTCTGCGGGTGATTTACTGACAACGAGCAAATGAAAGAACACGGGCGCAACATCTCATTTACATATCGATCAACGCAATATACCAAGCTCAGTGCAAATTAGCATCGTCGCAAATAAGCAGAACCGATGCTCATCAGGTGTGGGTGATCTACTTGCGACACAGGCACCAAAAATGTTCACACACATGCTTTTTTTGGGCGTTAAATAATGGCGCAAATACCAGTAATTTGACCAGTGCAAACGTTAGTAAATCACGTTGTGTGATTCATTTTAATACTCTCCTCCCATAAATTTTACGTCTGAAAGGGAAACTCCTACAAATGAATATTCAGTAAGTTCATACCTGTCCATACCTTTTCAGTGCTAATTCTTTACTTTGCATCTTTAGTAAATCCTGACAATACTATTTTAACGCCAAAAGACGTTTTGCACTGGTGCAAGCTGTTAATAAATCTGGCCCTAGAAGTTGAACTGACACTAAATGTGTTGGTCACCTGACGTCGCAACCAAAATTTTACCAAATATCAACATATGACGTTGTGTGCCTGCTGGGTAGATTCTGGTTTTGTGTAATTCCACTTCAGCTATGAGTTTCTCAAATCTTGCCTCATTTCTCACCTGTGCCAACATGGTAACATGTTTTATGCATTTTGCATTTGAAAAGCTCCAGGCCTATGATGGCGTAGATGGTGACCATGAAGAAGACCAGCAGAGAGATGTGGAACAGCGGCAGCATGGACTTGAGAATGGAGCTCATCACCACCTGCAGGCCTGGAGGAGACATTACACTTGAACCAGCCAACTCAAGAAATGAGACAGGTGAGCAGAGGAATGTGATGATGGCACTTACTGGGGACCCCAGAGACGAGCCTCAGGGGCCGCAGGACTCTAAATGCTCGGAGGGCTTTCATGTCAAACCCGCCTTTCTGTTCCACCGGCGCCTCCACGCCGCTGATGTTATTAATGAAGTCCACCACGACAGTGAACAACCTGAGAGGCGTCACACAGAAAGTGTTTGTAATTGTGTAGGATGTTTCTGTCCATATTCAGGGAGTGGTGTGTGTGTGTGTGTGTGTGTGTGTGTGTGTGTGTGTCTTACCCCATTGTCACAATGACAAAATCTAATATATTCCAGCAGTTCCGCAAATAAGCATCGGCGTGAAAGAGAAGCCCGTACGCCACGATCTTCAGGAAACATTCCATAGTGAATATGATGAGAAAAATGTACTCGAGACTCTCCTGTGAAAGTACACACACACGAAACATTGAGATGAATGGAGCTGTCAGCACACTTCAGTACAACCAACCATCACAAGGTGTTTGGTGTCAATTGTGGCTTTTCTACTTCAGAACATTTTTGTTTTGACTTTGAATATCTGTCTCGACATGTCTTTTTACATTCTGGCAACTGACGCACGTCAAATTTGGTGGAAACGTGATGAAGAGATGCTAGAGCCTGACACTTTCCTCCGGTTTCAGCTGAGGCATTTTGAAAATGACCCTGGCACAGACGCTGTGAATTTTACAGCCAACATGGTATTTACTGTTAGCTTGAAGTGAACACTGTTTGTTTCTATTGACATATACTGTAGATAGATAGATAGATAGATAGATAGATAGAAAAAAGACAAGATGCATTACTTTATTACCATTGAAATGCTTTGAAGTCGACCTGATTACAAAATGAACAATCTGACATATCAAATTACAAAACACAACATCCTTAGATAACGCCACAGTGATGAGTGAGTGCTGCGACCCTGTAAGAGCATATAGTTTGAGTTTGTGGCTAATTTTAAAGTGTCCACACATGCAGGCGTCCCAGCGGCATGCGGTCGAAGCACCTGCTTCTTTCAGTCACCTGGGTCAAGGTCACGCATGCTTACAAGGGTTTAGTGGGATGACTATCAGGCATTAGGTGTCAGTTATTCTGCCAAAAGACTAACTTGACACTGATGTATTTGGGATATAGTTTAATGTCAATGTTTTATAAGAACTTTATATGCATATGGAAACATTTAAATAAACCGTATTTTAGTTTGGGTATGTAAACTATCTACAGCAGATGAAGACTGTATAATAAGGGTGTGTTTGGGGGCGGAGTCTGTAGGTGTATGTGGAGTCTACAGCTTTTGGGGAAGGTTTTATATGTTGAGGGAGTGTATGAGGGTGTGGTCTATAGGTTGGGGGTGTGTCTTTAGAAGGAGTCTACATGTATTGGGGAAGAGTTTATATGTTGAGGGAGTGTATGAGGGTGTGGCTTTAGGAGGAGTCTACATGTATTGGGGAAGAGTTTATATGTTGAGGGAGTGTATGAGGGTGTGGCTTTAGGAGGAGTCTACATGTATTGGGGAAGAGTTAATATGTTGAAGGAGTGTATGAGGGTGTGATCTATAGGTTGGGGGTGTGGCTTTAGGAGGAGTCTACAGGTATTGGAGAAGAGTTTATATGTTGAGGGAGGGTATGAGGGTGTGATCTACAGGTTGAGGGTGTGGCTTTAGGAGGAGTCTACAGGTATTGGAGAAGAGTTTATATGTTGAGGGAGGGTATGAGGGTGTGATCTACAGGTTGAGGGTGTGGCTTTAGGAGGAGTCTACAGGTATTGGAGAAGAGTTTATATGTTGAGGGAGGGTATGAGGGTGTGATCTACAGGTTGAGGGTGTGGCTTTAGGAGGAGTCTACAGGTATTGGGGAAGAGTTTATATGTTGAGGGAGTGTATGAGGGTGTTATCTATAGGTTGAGGGTGTGGCTTTAGGAGGAGTCTACAGGTATTGGGGAAGAGTTTATATGTTGAGGGAGTGTATGAGGGTGTGATCTATAGGTTGAGGGTGTGGCTTTAGGAGGAGTCTACAGGTATTGGGGAAGAGTTTATATGTTGAGGGAGTGTATGAGGGTGTGATCTATAGGTTGAGGGTGTGGCTTTAGGAGGAGTCTACAGGTATTGGGGAAGAGTTTATATGTTGAGGGAGTGTATGAGGGTGTGATCTATAGGTTGAGGGTGTGGCTTTAGGAGGAGTCTACAGGTATTGGGGAAGAGTTTATATGTTGAGGGAGTGTATGAGTGTGTAATCTATAGGTTGGTCTATATTGTATTTGTGTGTGAGAGAGACTCACTAAGTTGCTGTTGGTGTTATTCGTATCTTCCTCAGGCATGGGCATGAAAACGGCCAGAGCTACACAGTTTGCAAAGATGGTGAGGAGGATGATGATTTCAAATGGTCTGAGAGAAATGTTCAGGAAAATAAAAACATCCACCAACATCAAATTATTGCTTGTTTCTGAGTGTTAAAATTATAGACATAATACTGCAGTAATGAACAATATGTCTGTGTGTGTTGATGACCGCAGTCGCAGTGTGTTGTTGTGTGTGTGTGCTAGCATTCTCTGAGCTTAGCATGTCTGTATTTAGTGAACTGGAGGACAGAGCAGCTGTTCTCTCAGAATATCAGAGCGCCGTGCTGAAACACTGACATTTACACACCTCTACACGAACGCTCAGTGTGAATGAGCTCATTAACTAGCTATCATCTCATAGTTGCTTTTTCAAACACTTTGATAACTGCATATTGGCACCTCTAATGAATGACTTTAAATGATAAACTTATTTTAAATGGAAAATGGTAAATTAAGATGTTTTTTATAGTCTTTTTTTGTTAGTTAGTTTGTTTTTGTTTTTGGAGATTCACTTGAGATGAATTTGATACTTAACTGAAGCAATCTTAACTATGATTTTTGTTTTGTAATTTCTTAAATATTTTTATTATCTTTTATTGATTTTATATTAGAATATATTTTATTTTTATTGATTTGTACAGCTGTTTAATATTTTTGTCAAAACCATGATGCACTACCTTTCAAAAGTTTGGATTTTAAATAAATGAATACTTTTATTCATCAAAGATGCATTCAATTAATCAAAAGTGACAGTAGAGACATATATATATATATATCACGGTTAATCGCATCCAACATCTTTGATGAATATATAAATACACACACAATCAGTATATATTTAGAAAATATTTCAATGTATATATTTATATGAATATAATTGATATTATATATAAATATTTTAAATGTATAAACATAACATATTTTTCTTAAATATATACATGAATGTGTGTGTATTTATATATACACAATACACACACACATATATTATGTAAACAAACTTTTATTTTGGATGCGATTAATCGCGATTAGTCATTTGACAGCACTAATATATATATATATATATGTATGAATGACTTTTATATATATATATTTTTTTACATATTTTAATAATGTGCATTAAGCTGGTTTAGTGATTATTTTAACACCGAAAACTCCAAATTAAAACATTATTGTAATTAAAATATTTTTTGATTCATTAAAGGATACTTCCACTCTACAATGTTTATGCAGGCCTTGCGGAAGGGGTTCTTCAGCGTGAGGAAGAGGAGGGATCGCGCCGGCCGTGGGTTTCCACCTGTGGCCTGGAGCTTCTTGAGTTTCTCTCTCTGCTTCCTCTTGAGCGTCTCCTCATCCATGATGAAGGTGCTCATGGTTGCTTCACCACCGCCCTCCATGATCCGATCAGAACCAGAGCAGGAGGCGCAGGAATCCTGGAGATCAGGTACTTGGCTCAGTAGTTCAGGATCTTCCCGTGGCTGAAAAATGAACGTGTCCCCACCGTCCGCTCTTCCAACTGTCTCTATTTCTCTCACTGCCTCGCTTTGCTCTTGTTTGGTTAGTACTGCAGCTGTCTGACTTAAAAAATAAATATAGACAATGCGTGTCACTCAGTTTAAGTGTGTGTGTTCGGGGACAACAGAGCATGACATAGTCGTGGTCACAGAGACATAGATTAAAAAGGCAGGACATTCACGCAGTCATAACTTTGGAATGTTCTCATTGGCTTGTTCTGTTTGGGCTTTGTGACATCACTGAGTTGCCAAACCAATCAGCTCACAGATGAGTCACTGTCATCTCTGTGGTTTCGCATGACTTATGAGCTTTTTCTGATTGTCCCAATCATGTTTGAGTCTCTTATCAACTAATAAAATGTCTTAACCTGTCAAGAACATTTCTGGGTCATAAATGTGATTTACGTTTATTTGCACTGACAAAATGATCAATAAATCAGGGCCCATGTATGGGACTCAAATAGAAATGATTTATACAGCCAATTTGATTCAACTTAAAATTAAAGGCAGCAACTGTGTTTATGAACATGTTGAATACAGTCATTTAAAAAAACTGAAACAAGACTACAAGTATCTCTAAGTAAAAAAACAGCCCCATTCCAAGTATAATTTAAGATTTATTTGAATAAAAAAAGTGTAAAAAGCACAGTTCACATGATCACATGAGAATGCAAGAGCAGAAACCGGGTTTCGTGTTGATTTCAAGGCTTTTTTGGGCATCATGACCCCTGTGCCCTCATGTCTCAGTCTGAAAACACACTACATCACGCTAGCCGTCTAAAATGTGCCACTCTTGTGCCATATTCAACTCGTTTCAGAAGATTTCAGTTCTTTATTGAAAACCAAACTTATGCTAAAAATGCTAAAAAAGAACATTATTTTGTGTTTGGTGTAATGCAATGTGTTTACGCGGTTTAAGGTGTAAACGCGCCTTTCTGAAATGCGTCGATTTTTACAAAGCTCATCGTTCTGAAAAGCGCGCTGTGCTGTGATTGGCCAGCTATCTGGTGCATTGTGATTGGCCGAATACCTCAAGCATGTGACGGAAATGTTACACCCCTCACCATATTTGAAAACACACAGCGTCTCCACGACAACAATACTACAGCGAGAATAAAAAAAGTCACGCTTTCTGTCTTTGTGTAAACATTTGGGCGGAGTTATGCAAATCTTCCAACACAGTGATGTAGACATGTGGGGGCGTGTTTAAACGAGGTGTGGACTTTTATAAAGAATACCTCTTGGGGTTTGAGACTTTAGTCTTTGGAACTTTACCGATCTTATCTATGCACAAACAGCCTGTAACACTCCAAAGACAAAGGAAAACTTGAAATTGCATTATATGACAACTTATGTAATTATTTGCACATTTTCTGGATAGCTGCTCTTTTCTGAATTACAAATTATGCTTTTGCATCATTAAAACACATGCTAATATCTGATAATCAACAATGTTTTGATGGCGCAGGATAAAAGTCGCGTGAACGATGTTTTCCGTATGTCTTTAACTCCCGACAGACTCCTCCGAAGACGATTCGGAAACGGAAAGCGGTGACGCTCCTCCGTTCTGCTCCGCCCTGCCCGCGTTCTCCACCAGATCCTGCAGGTACTTGATGTAGCGTATGGCCGCGCGCAGCGTCTCCACTTTGCTCAGCCGTTTTTCCGTGGTGCCATTAGGCAGGTGGTCACGTAGTTTGGCGTATCCCTGGTTTACGCACTTCACGCGCTGACGTTCCCGCTCGTTGCGTTTCTGGATGAAGGCAGGCTCGAAGGGACATTCGTAAATGCCGAAGCTACCGTGGAACGGCGGCAGGTACGAGAGCAGCGATGCACTGCCGCAGTAGGATCTATCGTAGACTCGCTGATCAACGTGGGTCGGGTATAAAAACAGTGGCAATGCGCGATCGGCGTGAACGTCGTTCCTTCTGTAACCACCAGGGGGCGCACAGTACCTGCTGCTCCTAGCCAAATGGCAATGAGAGTCCTGGAGGGATGCGTCCATGTTGAGATGAAATCAGAAGTTGGTTCAGTTCGTTTGTTCGTAGACGAAAGCCACGCCCAAGGAAGTGTCTCTAAAACCGACGGATTAACTTGCGTTTCCTGAGGTGAGGAAGCATCGTCTTCTTCCTCGCTTAAATCCCAGACGCTCAGAAAACGGCTTCTGTTGCTCTTTGAAAGACCTGTGAAGGATTTCGAGAGAGACAGACGAGAGTTTAGAGCAGAAGACTTCAAACACACTTCAGATTAACATAATAACCGTGTTGTCTGAGGTTCAAATGCTCGGGATAAGCCCGCGGACGGTCCTTGCAATTAACACGGATTTGACATGAAATACAGACGAAAAGACCCAAAACATAGTCTGTGAGCGCAAACGCTATCTGTGCTTCTACTATACATGCTATCCAAATAATAACTGATTTATTAACAGAAATCTGGAGTTAAATAGGGATTGATACGGGCACAGGTGAAGTGTGTACTACGATCGCATGCTTGTATTGGCATGCTAGATAAAAGTGTGCAGCAGTGTGTCAGTAATCCGTCTCTAATTCACGACATTGTGTACTACACAAGAGTTACAGGAGGAAAGCAGAATGTGCTCGAGGATTAATAAATTCTCTGAAAGAAAAATAAACGACTGATGTAATCCCTCATTGTGTTTCCAATTTAAAGACATATCTGCGCTTGTCTTGTGCGTATTTGGAGCTCGAGGCAAAACATTAAATTATGTCTAATCTGTCTTTCAGTGGAAATCCCCTCAGCTGTGAAGTGGTGTCAAATTGGCCGTATTAAGGAGAAAAGATAGAAGCAGTGGAGAAATTATGAATGGAAACATGTCAGAGACTTTTCATGCGGCTACAAAGAAAGCTGCAAAACAATCCTGCCGCTCTTCTTGTCTTTTATTGTCAAGTTAGCTGATGCAGCTTTTGCAGACCACATTAAAATACATTGAATAATAAATAACATGCATCACCAGCTACAGCATAATATTCTTTATTCAATAATGCGTATATAACTGTTTAAAGATGTACAATTGCAAAGCTTTAGAAAACAACTGAAGAAAAAATATAAAATAAGCACAAAAGCGGAAATGCCAACATTGTACAATATATTCTATAAAAAAATATATATATAATAACAGTATTTATATAATATTTATGTATTACATACTGAGCATTTAAATCTAAATTTAATGCAGTATTAAAGTAGTTTAGATATTTAGATACAGAAGTAAAGCATCTTGTTTCGCACCAACATCTGTTAAATGTTTCATACAGAGTCATTCTTAAAATGCAGCTGAATTGACCCTTCAGTGTTTAGTTTTAATGTAATGTTTACTGTAATATTACAGGCACAATGAAACAAAAGCAGCTGGTGTTGAGGAGACTGGACGTGTCTTACCTGAGAGGAAGAGCAGCCGGTTCTCCACACACACCTGAGTGATGTTACAGGTGAGCTCTCAGTGCTTTACCTGCCGCCCGGCCCGTGTCCCGCCCCTCGTGAGTGTGTGTGTGTGTGTGTGTGTGTGTGTGTTTACACTGACATGAGCATTTCAAAGGCAGGATGAGCCTCAGGAAGTTGGCAGAGATGGAGTTTTGTTTTGTGTTGGAGTCTGAAATTACAGCGGGGTGCAGAAAGCTGCAAACGGCTGTTTACTGATCTCAGATCGGTCATCCAGATGCTGAAACACACGCACACATTCGTGCTGGATAATGACTGGAGCTTCACTTCACTGTGACGTTCAGATTCACAGATGATGATGATGATGATGAAGGTTTCATATCCTCTGTTTCTTTAGGAGTGTGATCGCTGTGCTTCCTCTTCCTCTGGGTTATGAAGATATACAGTCAGATTAGCAGCCGCGCAAAACATTCATTTGACATAATAACAGAGTTTAATCACATGCTTTTATTACCGTCTGATATCAGAACGAACCGTAGACATATGATAATTCATCTACAAGCACTGTTGAGTTTAGACAAATAATTTACATGCTTTTATACTATATGCTATATAATATACATTGCCTTTCTGTCATTTATTTTGTCTGTTTATCATCTGTCTGACTCTCTATCTAGTCCATCTATCTATCTATCTATCTGTCTGTCTGTCTGTCTGTCTATCTGTCTATCTGTCTGTCTGTCTATCTATCTGTCTATCTGTCTGTCTATCCGTCTATCCATCTGTCTATATATCTATCTGTCTGTCTGTCTGTCTGTCTGTCTGTCCATCTGTCTATATATCTATCCATCTGTCTATATATCTATCCATATGTCTGTCTGTCTATCTGTCTGTCTGTCTGTCTGTCTGTCTGTCTATCTATCTGTCTATCTGTCTGTCTATCCGTCTATCCATCTGTCTATATATCTATCTGTCTGTCTGTCTGTCTGTCTATCTATCTGTCTATCTGTCTGTCTATCCGTCTATCCATCTGTCTATATATCTATCTGTCTGTCTGTCTGTCTGTCTATCTATCTGTCTATCTGTCTGTCTATCCGTCTATCCATCTGTCTATATATCTATCTGTCTGTCTGTCTGTCTGTCTATCTATCTGTCTATCTGTCTGTCTATCCGTCTATCCATCTGTCTATATATCTATCTATCTGTCTATCTATCTGTCTGTCCGTCCGTCCGTCTCTGTCTATCTATCTATCTACAATTCAATGTTTATTTATATAGCACATTTAAAACAACCGAATTCGACCAAAGTGCTGCACAGAGTATGCAAAACAAAACAAGTCAACAAGTTAATAAACAATAAAGCACAAACTATAAAACACACTGTAAAATGGATGAGGTTCACTAAAATAAAGGATCATTGCACAGCAAGTCAAAAAATATTAAATGCCAAGGAGAAGAAATAAGTAAGTATATACTTAAATAAATAAGATAGAGTTGAGGCAGTTCTGATATGAATTGGGAGACTATTCCACAACTTAGGGCCAACAACAGATCACCTCTGTTTTTGATACGTGCCCTGGGAACTTGCAATAAACCAGAATCAGCGGATCTGAGTGCTCTTCTATCTGTTACATCCATACACTCTTGACTGAGTGTATGGATGTAACAAATCAGATAGGTACTGTGGAGCCTGATTATAGAGATTTAGATAGATTTAT